ATACACACCTTAAGTGTGTGCCTTGTTGTTGTTGATTGTATCTTTAGAGGATGCTTCTCTGCTTAAAAGGTACCTGGAACAGCGATGGCGACAGAGGTTTGTCTTTTATTTTGTTTTATTTATTCTGTTGCGCTTTGTTTTGTTTAGCTTTGCCATTGCTGTCGCTGTTGCCCTTGCCCTGCCTCGTTCTTGATATTACCTGTTGTAGTTTGTTGTTGTCTCGAATAGAAAAAACGCAGTAGATTTAATACCTTAAAGGGCCAGCCAGCTAGCGTACGTGATATATGAGAGTAGCAAATGAAAGGATGAAATGTAGCAGAAAAGGTAGTATATGCAACAACATGTCAAGTTGTAAATATGTACGCAGCATGAACATACAGTTAATTACTATTTAGGCTTGTGATAGATCTGCAACACTGCGAGGAGACATTCATTTAGCAGCATAGACACATGTATGTACGCACATATACGCATACATACATACAGACACATATAATATTAATGCACACACCCATGATAATGTTAATGTGTGTGATTTTGTAGCATAGAGGCACTCTGTCCAGCAATGCGTTAATTATTTTTGTTACCTGCACCGCCGTCCGTTTGGCGCTGCCTACTTGCTCTCGCACGCTAGCTCTTTGCCTCTCGCAGTCTCTCTCTCTCTCTCTCTGTGTTAGCCCAGGCTAACGACACAAACACAATTGCAATTGAGCGCCTATATATGTATGTGTGTGTGTGTGTTTTTTTCTTGTGCTCAGTTTTGGGCATCTTGAATGCTGGCTGCAGCTTCGGCAATGAAGCTGCCTTTGGAGCTGCGCGCGCCAATCAGCCCCAGTTGTTGTTCCTGCTTGTGTTTCCTTTTGGGCAACGGCCGCAGTCGCTGCATACATACATATTTACATAGCTGACTGTTGAGTCACGAACACACAGGCACACATACAGGCTTATATGTATATGTATGTGTGCATGTACATACATGCACACCTTTTGTTCTTTTGTATGCTGCCAGGCATTAACAGGCTAAGCAACATGCATGTGAATGTGTGCATGTATGTATGTACATACATATATAGGCATGGATATTTACAAGAGCATGTGTACCTGCCTTTGCTGCCGGCGTTGGCGTCGGCGTCGGCGTCAACTTCAGAGCGCACGTTTGCTCGATTGCTTTTACCTCACGTTCTGCTTTTCGTTCTGCTGTTGCTGTTGCTTCTCTTCTTCTTATTCTTGTTGTTGTTTTTGCTTTTGCTGAAATTCCTATTCCTGTGCAGCGTTTGTGCTTCTCTGTTTGTTGTGCCCTCTTGAAGCTAGCGTAATTTGCCAAACCCCATTGTTTGTGCACCTCTTATATACGCGCGTGTGTGTGTGTGTGTGTGTGTGTGTGAGTGTGAGTGTGTGTATCCATGTCCTTTAATACTTGAAACTTTTCTCGTTTTGAGTGCGCTGCACTTGCGCCGGGCTGCCGACAGGTACAACATGCTTGGCCGCTCTTCGCTCTGCGCTCTCAGCTCTCAGCTCGCAGCTCTCTTGCGACGCTCAGTCGCTTGCGCTTGAGCCAGCGTTTCGTTTGTGTCAGCTCAGCTCGCAGTCGCAGTCGCAGTCGCAGTCGCGGTCGCGGTCGCGGTCGCAGTTTTAGTTTTTCAGTCTATGGCTGACTTTGTTCGCAGAGAGAGGTAAACGTTTTGTTGTCGCGTCGCGCAGTAAAAGCAACAAGCAACAATCAAGAATCAAGAACAGCAAAATAATAATAACAGCAAATGTAACTGTTTGCAGACCGGCAAAACACACACACACACAATGACAAATGTCTAATGGCAATGTTTTTTGTTTTGCAATTTGCAGTTATCTTTTGGTCGATTGACAACAAAAGCATTGGCCATTGCGCGTGCATGTGTGTGTGTGTGTGTGCGTGTGTGTGTGTGTGTGGGCCCTTCAAACTCATTAAATTGTAATTAAAATTCAAAAGCATCAACAACAACAACAAAAACCTAAGCAAGAGCAAAGCGAATCTTGCTGTCTCTCTTGATTCTTCCAGTCGTTCTACATCTTTCTCTGCTACTTCTGCTTCTTATCTATCTGCTAAGTACATCGTTCGCTTAGTTACCGTAACTGCTGCAGTTTTGTAAACTAAAGCGTTGCCAGATCGAGCATGTTACAAAGCTTTTGTTGCTGTTAAAATTGAAATGTTTGAACAAGCGAAAAAAAAGTGGCTAAAACTATGCGATGTCCGTCCGTGCAAGTGTGAGATTGTGAGAGCGTATACCGATATGTGTGTGCATGCATACATGTGTATGTATGTGTTTGTGTGGTCAACATGCAACGTCAATGGCTGCTGTTGCAGTAGCAGTAGCAGCAGCAGCAGCAGCGGCAGCAATCGTAAAAGCAATGAACGACGACAACAGCGAAAATTTCTTTCGAAAGTGCTGAGAAATTGGTCAAACAACTTTTTACAGTTGATTGTTGTTGCTGCTGCTGTCGTAATTTATACCTTGGTCAATAAACAGCAACAACAACAACAACAGCAACAGCCACAATAAATGCAATCGAAAATGCAATTGCTTTAGTCTCTCTGTCTGTGTGTGTGTGTGTGCGTGTGTGTGTTTTTTGTTTAGCTGTTGCCCGTTTCGTATTGCGCGCATGCGCAGATTTATCGCAACATTTTTTGTTAACGTGTTTTATTTTTTTATGTGTGCGCCTGCATAAGCAGCGCTTCAAATAACTAAAATATGCCAGAGTGCAGGATAAGGGCATATCAAGCATATCAAACGCACAACAACAACAACAACAGCAACAACAACAGCAACAACAACAACAACGAGCAGCAAAATGCGCATCCTGAAGCAATGGTGAGTGGAAGTGGAAGGCTTGTCTGTGATTTGTTTGAGTAAATGCAGCACTAACACTTGCATTTCTCAATGTTAGTTTAAGCCAACATCAACAACAAATTTCCTGGTTAATTCTAAGTTTTCTTTTGTTTGATCTACAACTGAGTTTTTGTTAAAAATACATACAAATGTAAACACTGTGCAACAGTATTTGCTTTTCGGCATAACCTGTCCGATTTTCATGTGTGGCAGATCGAGAGAACGGTCTCTTTTTGTATACCCTGTAGATATATAAAGAGATAATATAAGGATCAGAATTATATATATATAATATATTCTATAAAATGTATTAATATAATTTAACTAAAATCATAAAACCATTGATTGCGATCTTTAGGATCGTATATAATTAAAATTATAAACGAACCAAGTTACCAGACCATTTTACAACACTGCCCAAACATTTACGTACTTGTAGTGTTGAAAAACCTCAGTTGAAATTAAAATTGTGTTACTTTCAATATTTTGTAGGCAGTCTTTCTGCTTTAAACCAAAATATCTCTTAGATTACTTCTAATTAAATACTGTAGATGGTCCTGAGCTAACTGGAAAATCATTTTGTGCCCAGACTATGGTCACATTCTGACAATTGATGGTAGATGCTCGTAGAATCTACTTTTTTGTAGCATAGTATAATGAAAACTTCTTCTGCCACTGTCAATTGTTGTCTCTATGTGTGCATATCATATGTCACACTGTCTCCTAGATATATGTACATATGTACATCCCATTTTGTATGCAAGCCACGACGAGTAAACAGTACAGAGAGAGACATTACGTATATTTCGTGGCCTGCGCCGTAAACGAAGTGCGCTCGTCCATATAAAAATAATTGCATAAACAAAAAAGCGTGCATTACATAAACGGAGTAATACCAAACATTATTCACATTTTAAAGATCCAGTCACATTTCATGAAATGTGCCTGGCTCTTAAAGCCAGGCAAATCCTACTCCCCTATCAAACATTGCAATGGGAATTCCGTCAAATATTCAGCCAATTTTCGGTCAAACATTTTTCTCGCCTGCACAGCATGAGAAACCAAATTGAAGTTGGGGATGTGAGGTAGATGTGAAATAACTAGCATAGCAATAGTCTGCCACATTCTCGAGCGAAACCAAAGTCTGCCGAGGTATGAACCGAAGCCGGACCACAGCTTCGTGTTGCGTGATGTGAGATGCGTGATTCGTGCCTCCGGAGACGCGTGTTAACGTCAGATGCCCGATTGACTCGCAATTGGATGCAGCTAGCGACTAGCAGAGCAGGAGAACAAGCCGAATTTAAACCGCAACCAGGAAATTGGTTCTTCACATTGTGGCAAAGATGAAAATGAAAATTGACTGCATGCTGAACAGAAATCGAAGATTGCATCCATAGATCCATCCAACATTTTTCACATGCATTTACAAATAGAGAATGCCCGTGTTTTGGTTCACAAATCGAAATGCCTTCACATGCAAGACACCTGAAGCCCTGGCTTCACATATATTTTCAAAATTTCAATTGCTTTTTCTATTTGATTCCATCCGAAATTAGCATTCAACAAATATGCTTAGTTGTGTCGTTTAGTTCAGACCAAGTTCGATTGAACGGTTCATTGAAATGAACTACTCAATTTCCGCAGTGATTAGTGAACTAAATCGTTCATTTAGTTCACTAGCTTAGCTATTCAGTCGGTCATGAACGATACACTCTTGATACTCGTTCAGTCGTTCATGAACGATGTATGCAACTCAGCAGTTCAGTCGTTCATGAACGAGACATTCCTTTCAGAGGTTCAGTTCTTAATAAACAAAAAAGATGGCGCGATTTTAAGCTCACTTTTCATTTGTTAAGTTGTATCTTACAGCTTGCAAGTATCTATTATCAACAATAGAATAAGCAAAAAGTATAACATGTTTTGCAACTGACAATATGAAAAATAACTGAATAGAAAGTACAAACGTAACTGCATAACTGAACTAAGAACATGAACGACTGAATAGCTTAACAGAATTCATCGTTTATGTCCAGAAAATAAACGAGTGAACTTTAGAACTAAAAATCCCCCACTCCGAATCGGATCCAAGTAACTTGTGCTCTTTAATATTTTTAGAGCTAGAACAAAACCATAAGCTTATCGTTTCTTTCGATATATTTACCATGTTCCCTTCCGAAAATATAAAAAAAAGCTTATTTGAGCTTGAGCACATCCCGAATCCCAGAACGACCCAAGCAGTGTGGCTGACTTGTCTGTCTTAGAAAATATTCTATACAAACGCATAGAAGGCAGTTGGAATGTTTGTAAAACATTAAGGTCTTTTTCCCTGAAACGAACTGTTTCTATTTTGTTATCATTGTAGAATAAATCCTTGTGGGTTTGCTTACCTTGTAGTTGTCCCCGCCCGGGCGCTATGTGCAATGTTTGTCTCAAACAATAATATTCTCTGAATAATACGCGTTGTTCTTTAAGTATCCAGATAAAAAGGTCCCATGCTGCACAGACTGTACAGAACGTTATTGGAATTTCGATTGGAATCTTCTTGGTATTTAGATTGTTGAGCCTGAGACTTGGTAAAACAACGATATTTATTTCTTCTCCCACATTTTGGAACTGGGTGTACAACTATGACACAATAAACTTGGCTACTGAATGAATTCAATTGGAATTAGTCCCTGCTCGGTTGCGCCTCCATTTAATAAAGTACACATTTTTTAATTTCACGCCCGATTATGTTTTTTTGTTTTTGTTTTTTTTTTTCAAGGCCACGTCGCCGTTCTGGCTCCAGCATTGTGGTCATTGATGGCGATGATCTGAAGCCATGTCTGCCGGATGATTACATAAGTGGCCAGCATCATCATTTGCATCATCATCAGCAGCAGCAGCAGCAGCAGCAGCAACAGCAGCAGCAGCATTATCGCACGCACTCAAGTGATATTAGGGAGATTGACCAGGAAATGCTGACCATGCTGTCGATGAATCAAGATAACGGTAAGCGCTAATCATCTAGCCGAATAGCTGTAATTAGATGATGGTTAAATTGCAACGCTTGTTACCTCGTACAGGTCCACATCGCGAGATGGCCGTCGACTGTCCCGATACGTTTATAGCACGCAATAAGACGCCACCCAGATATCCGCCACCCCGTCCGCCGCAGGTAAGCAAAAGTTCAGTTTAACAAAATACCCAAAGCCCCAAAGAACCAAACACAAATGCTTGATGCAATCATATGCGCATTGCCAGCCAAACAACTAACTAACCGCTAACAACAACTAACAATAGTCGCTAACAACAACCACACGAATGCACGCTTGCTTACTGAACCGCTCATTTCATGCATTTTCTTTACACCGCACCACATTGTCCACATGTACCATGCACCACGCACCATCCAACCACCACCAAACATAGAAACACAACACCAACCACACAACAATCACCAGCATCACCAACAACACCAACACCATCAACAACACCATCACCAAGAACACAACTAAAACTAAAAATGATCATGCTAACAAATTGTTAATTGTTGCATATCATTCTTCACATCAACATGAACAACAACAACATCATCATCAACTACAACAACAACAACAACAACAACAACTACACTCATCAAAAACAACAACAACTACAACAACAATTGCACTCGATGTGGCCACACAAAATTTGTACAATCAAAAACAACAAACCAAATTGGAACAAATCGAAAACTATGAAAACGATCTACAAACGGATCAGCAACAACAATCGCAGCAACTGGCAGCAACAGCAGCAACAGCAGCAGCAGCAACAACAGCAACAGGCGTTCAAACAGCGCAACAACAAATGCCCAGCTACAAGTTGCAAGCAGCATTTGGCAGCAACAATCCGGACGTGAGCAACAGCAACAATCACACCAGCAACGGCAACAGCAACACCAACAGCAACAGCAACAGCGTGGCCGACGAGTTGCTGTGCGTGGTGGATGGGATTTATTGCAAGGGCGCCAGCTCGCCATCGTCGAGCACTTTTGACGATATGCTGAGCAAACAGACGCTCGAATCGTTCGAAACAATTGCCTATCGTCATTTGCAGCATCGCCAGCAACAACATCAGCAGCAGCAGCAGCAGCAGCAGCAGCAAACGGCAAGCAATTGCAACGGCAACAGCAATAGCAGCAACAGCAGCAACAACAACAGCAACAACAACAACAGCAGCAACAGCAACAGCACAGCTGCAACGCCCAACAAATTGACGGGAATTAGCAGCAGTAGCAACAGCAACAGCAACTCCCTGAATAGCACACGCAGCAGCAGCAACAGCTCCATGCACACCAGCAGCAACAGTCACAGCAGCAGCAGCGTCAGCAGCAGCAGCCACAGCAGCCACATAGCCAGCGCTCCATCGACAACGAGCAGCTCAACAGTTCCGGATGATCTTAGCCTGGCGCCGCCCGGCTATGAGCCGAGCAGTCAGCAGCAACTGCCCCCGGCAGGCATGTCGCTGCTGCTGCCGGCAACGGCAACGGCATCAGCACCTCCAGCAAAGCATCGCGAGCTGCCCGTCGATGTGCCCGATAGCTTTATTGAGATGGTCAAGGCGCCGCCACGTTATCCGCCGCCCGCACATCTATCCTCGCGCGGCTCGCTGCTCTCGAATGGCAGCTCCTCAAACGCAACGACCTTCTCCTCGCTGGGCGTGGCAACTGCGTCTGCTGCCGCTGGCTGTGCGTCTGCTGCTGTTCCTGTTGCTGGCGATGCCCAGCGCATTGCCGATGAGGTATACCAACAACCACAATAGTATTTCAACTTTGTACTTTCTACCCTGTAAATACTTAGTTTTTCAATTTTATCACTCTCTGCCCGCTTGCCCTCTCTCTCTCTCTCTCTCTCTCTCTGACTCTCTTTAAAACCCTTTCTCTGTGCTCTGTCCTAGTTTAAGTTTGACCACGTATTTTGTCAATCGCAGCGCTGCTGGCAAGAAAATATAATATACCTTGCACACCTCGCACATGACCGACATTCAATTTCCCCGTGGAACAGTCGATTAGCCTTGCTCTCTCTCTCTCTCTCTCTCTCTATCTCTACCCCTCTCTCGCACTCTCTGCCGCTCGGTCTCTCTGCGTTTTTTCGCGTCATTCGCTGCCATTTTATGACATAAATCAACAGCAATTTGCATTTCATCAGCATTTCCGCTGCCTGCCACCAACTGGGCGCATTTCCCACACACCGCAGCAACATTCGCTCTGGCTGCAGCTGCAGCAGCAGCAGCAGCAACAACTCGCTACGTTTACCGCTGCAATTTCCGCACATTTTTTCTTTAACCCATTCACAATTTCCACATAGCGTTGTCATATTCAGAAAACAAAGAATTGCCGTTAATCAGTTTAATTATTTATAGATACATATATGGACCATGGCAAAAACTTTCATTATTTTTATTACATTTTTCGCAATTTCTATGGCTTTGCTTTCTACTAATTCTACAGTTCTTATAAATGTATTCAGCCTGGTTGCCACTATTCATTTAAGTCCATATTATTGCAGTCGCATGTAACCGAATACGCTATGCTCTGTTCACAGCTTTTACCCTTTATTCCCGGATCATATAATCGCTAGCATTGAATTGCATTTCCTTTAATAGAGTTGGTCCCAACTTTATATATATGTTTAAATCTTTGCATCCAAAGACTGACTCAGTTTTTTCTTGATTCTCGTAAGCTTTTGAGCCGAATCAGCAATAGGAAATTCAACAAATAGTTTATCAGCCCTGTATGTTACAAAGCAGCTGTATCAGAACCGACCGGGAATACCCTTAACGTGTGCGCAAAACCAAAATGAGAGTCACACTAATTGCAAATATTCGTTTCTTGTAAAACAGGCAAAGTTAAAGAATAGGAAAGTAACAAAGGCTTAAATTGTGTAGGGTGTTCTGACTCAAAGTAGGTTTCCTCTGCTTTTCCTTGCAATTTGTCGGTCTTTAGCTCGGGCAAAGCAGTTGCAATTGTTAATTGTAGGCCGCTTCTCACTTGCCCCATGCTCTAGTGCTATGGTGCTATGGTGCTATGGTCTTCCAGTCGCTCCCACTCTTGCTGTCTGCCTTTCCCCTTTTATGGCTTTTTGATTTAATTCCTTCCTGGGTGACCCCAACCCCTTGTTGGCAGTTGTTGCCACGTTGCGTCTCAGCTGACGCTGGCCTAATTCCCTCGGTTGCCACGATGTAGCGCTGCCCTCGTTAGCAACATAATCCTAAGCTCTGCCAAGACCACGCCCATAAGCCACCCAACCACCTTTGTAGCTTAATTTGTCTGTGTGTGTGTGCGTGTGTGTGTGTGTGTGTGTGTGTGTGTGTGTATTTTTGCAATATACCAAGAGCAAAAACAAAACAAACCCTTGAGTAATTTATATAAAAATCGTTGGCGATAAATTTTACAAGGGGTTGCACAAGGGTCTTCTCCCTAGTTGGGGCTCTGCCTTAGTTGGCTGATAAATAGTTGAGGGCGGGGCAATGGGCGCAACCGGAATAAACGATTCGACAATGCAAATGAATCGAATGAATCAAAGGCCAACTGCATGAACATAAACAAATACTCGTTTATAAATACTCAATAAATCACAAGAACAAGGCAAAGAAGCGCAAATGTAAAAGATTGTTCAAATTCATATTCCTCAGAATCGCAACACATGCTTCATAGTTGCTTGCTGTTAACGGATTGTTGGCTATTTTGCTGGAGTGTCGTAGGGATCGGGAGGGGAGGGGCGTTAGTCTCGCTGCAAATTGCAATTAAATAAACAACAAGAACACCAACAACAACAACAACAGCGACAGCAGCAACAGCAGCAACAAAAATAACATCAGCAACAAGACACGTGCATAACTGAAACACACACACACCCACACACACATACACACACACACAATCGCACACCAACACATACATGCATGCATATATATATAGTCATACAGAAACAAAACAAAAAACTGTTAAAATCTCAACTAATCGTTCTCTCAATATATGCTCTATTCCTTCTCTCGCTCTTCTACTCTCACTCTTTGTCCCACACACACACATACAATCGAATGCAGCTTAATGGCAACGCCAAGCCCTTGCCGCCGCCTCGTGATCATCTGCGTACTGAGAAGGATGGACGTCTCATTAACTGCGCACCCGCGCCACAGTTGCCAGATCGTCGCATGCCCGGCAATGGCAGCGGTGCTGCCACCCAACAACAACAGCAGCAGCAGCAGCAAATAGCGCAAATTGTGGCGCCGACATTAGAGCAGCTGGACAGCATAAGAAAATATCAGGTGAGTGAGCATTTTCCAGTTACCATTAAAATATATACAGATGCATGCGTATGCACATATGTATGTGTGTATGCCGCATGCAGTTTCGCTGAATTTCGCTTTGCGCCTGCCTGTTAGGCTATGGAAAATGTGTGTGTGTCACAACCTGTGACTCTCAAACCCCAATGCGTAGCTGTCGAAGCTCGATTTTTGGCTGCGACCAACCGAAACTATCGCTAAATACTTATGTGATGCCAAGCAAAACATTTGTCGAAGATTCTTAAAGCCAATTTCCCTCACAATGTATAGAACTGTGTTTTGGTAATTCGTTTTTGTGCATTTTCAATGTGTATAAGACTGAAATATGTATCTAAAGATGGGGAACTCGCTTGAGACCACACTTCAATGCAACTGACCATTAACGATTTATGCATTAGGTATTTCTGATAGCAGACATCCTCACAAAATGTAAAGATTCTTTGTGTGCACACACACACACACACACACACACACACACACACACACGTTGTCGGTGTGTCTGTTAGCTACAGTTGCTGTCAAACTATGCACATAACCTGCAATTCAGAAATTGAACATCGTCACAGTTGAGTGCATGGCGTCATTGACATGCACAGCAAGTGGCAGCAGTTCCGCATGCCACACCGCGCCGCGCACATTGCAGCTACCTCTTTACTCTCTTTTGGTTTGTCACCCGCTCAACCGACCAGACCTTCCCTTGCCGCCCCCACCACACCATTCGCCCCCTTCGCATTCTGATAGCACCTTTGTTTGGGCTACGACAATGGACGACAATGCCGTTGACGGCAGCTATGGCAACGCTTCCGGTTCGGCGCCCGCTTTCAGGTTTTGCTTCTGCTGCTGATTTTATTGCGCTTCTCCGGCTGGGCATTGACCAATCGGCCCAGTGCATTTCAAACCGTAAATCGTAAAAGTCTTCTAAACTGGCCAGGAAAACTATTACAAATTTAACCGGCCAAAGACAATGCAACTGCAACAGAGGCCTGGTCCCTGAAAAGGCACACAGATGCAATGGAGGGGGCAAGCGTCAATAAAAGTTAACAATTCAACAACTTTTTCTGGGTGCCGCACTTTGAACTGAATGCGGAAGGCAACAGGCAGGATGTGCAGAGACCACTAAAATAATAACTAGTCAAAGGTGAGGGGTGAGACATTGCGCATGAGTCGCTGAGCGAAGCAAATTTGCAGGAATTAATTATACTATCAAGCTAAAAACGATTTGTGTGTGTGCGTGTGTGCGTGTGTGTGTGTGTGTGTGGGAGGGAGAGTTGTGGTTGACAGCAAAAGGGGACCCACAATCCACTTGCTAAACAACAAGTTCAAGAAATCGGAAAAGCAAAGGCGCCTAATGTGCAATTAATTAAAATGCTAAGCAAACATTTGAAGAGTCACTCAAGCGAACAGTCAAACTGTACTGCTAAGGGCGCGAGAGAGACAGAGAGAGAGAGAGAGAGAGAGCGAGAGAGAGAGAGAGAGAGTCTGATTTATGGTCGAAATGAACTATTTTGACAGCTTTGAGCTGATCCCACAAGACCACTTTCCAGTCGTAATCTAAGACTATTCATCACAATCAGCTCGTAGTGGAACAAATAAGCTTGAATGGAATAAAATAATCGCACAATTCTTAAATTGATTTATTTAACTAAATTGGAACTGGTAAGAAGCCAAAAGATAGCACGCCCGGATTACAAGAAGAACAAGAAGAGCGAGCGACGTCTGGCAATATGCTCGACTGGATTCTGAGAATAGATCAGCATATAACCCTCATAGAAATAATAGTACAGTAGGGTCAGCATCAGGGCCATCACGACATTGTTTGTGTATAGCTCACGGACTATCTCGGGACTCCGGGGATACTTCTTGAGATGCTGTTGAACAATGTACATCAGAATGCCCAAGGTGATTGAGAATAGAATCAAAAATATGTATATCTTGCAAAGCAACTTCCACAGCCTGCCAGATATGGCAGCAAGGACTGCGATCAATAGGGATCCGCAGCCGCTGAATGTTGCCAGAATTGGCTTCAATTTGCTGCAGTTCATTATGAAAATTCTCAAGCTCAAATACTTTGAATAATACAATTTGAACGCGTCTACGTCCAGTATTCCCTGGAACTTAAATCGCTTGGCATACTAATTCTAACTGGCTGGGCTAAACTAAAATTTCAACTTTACCAGCAGATAATCAGCAGGTGAGCTGATTTCCATAGAGCTGAATACAAGTCTTCCAGCAGATAGAGTCGAGCGTGGCGCCCGGAAGATTAGCAGGAGAGTGCACGACTGCCAGATACCCAGCTAACTTCTTCTGTCTGCACATGCCGTTGCACGTTTTCCTTATACCCTGGTGATTGCAAAAGAGATGTTGGGAGGGTAAAGGGTATCCCTTAGTCACGCACTCCCCATCAAATACACACTAACCGGATGCAAACGTTTTTTGGCTTTACCCCGTCTAACGGAAGTGAGATAATCGAGAAATGGGGCTTTTCGTTAATTCTAGGGTATATTTGTGTCAGTACGCATTGACCCATTGTTAACATTTGCTTACTTTACTTGTTGTTGTTGTTGTTGTTGTTGTTGTTGTTGTTTTTGTTCTCGTTGCTGTCAAATACTTTGCTTTGGCTTGTGCTTTGCGGCATTTTCGCCCCAAGTACGCAAATTAGTTAAACAATTTATTTATATTTATTTTTTTTTGCTTTTGTCAACGATGACAGCATGTGTGTGTGTGTGTGTGTGTGTGGTGTGTGTTGGTGGTAGCAGCATTAACGCACACACACACGCACACATAAGCAGCAAAAGTCATCGCATTTTGTTTCACACATTGCGAGCTCTCTTGTTGTTGCTGCTGCCTTTTGCTTGTGTTGGGCCAGCGACAACAACTACAACGACAACGCAACAGCAACAGCAACGGCTGCAAACTTGGCTCACACTCACACTCACACACACACATACACACACACACATGCACACCGACTTAAAATCGCACTCGAAACTCACACACACAAACAGACGAAGGCCTTCGCTCACTGCGCTCACGCGCTCAACGCGCACTGCTTGGTCAGCGGGAGGGGTCGGCGCAGCGGTTGCGGAAGGGGTTATGAGGAGGGGGGAGGGGGGCTGGGGCCGCTTTACCGCTCATTTGTTATGATTTTTCAGTTGGCATTTTTAGTTGTTTTTCTACGCGTTCTGCGATCGGCCGCATTTTCAGCTTTTACGCTTCGGGCAAACGTGCGTGTGTATAGACGAGTGTGTGTGTGTGTGTGTGTGTGTGTGTGTGTGTGTGTGTGTGTGTGTTAGGGGGGTGATAAGATCTCTGAACTACAAGTATATTGGATATATACTTGCATATATGAACGGTCATATAATTAATACGTTTTTTTTATGTAATTATTTGATTTTTTGTTGTTGTGCGTGTGTGTGTGTGTGTCTTAAATAATAATTGTTGTGCGGTACGCCCCCACTCCCTCCAGCCACAGCCAAACGCTGCGCTTGCGAGAATTGTGTGTGCAGCGCAGTTTGAGAGCCATTGCAATGTTAGAGCCCGCTATCGTGCTGGCAATTTAGGCAAATAAGGCGCGGCCAGCAGGCAGGCAGCAACTGTGCTGAAAGCACGTCGCAAAAATACAAAAAAAAAAAAGAGAAACAAACGATGGAAATAATATTACAAAAAACGTAAAAACAACATTTACAATGTCATTTATGGATTTATGGGCAATGGGCGTACGGCCTACATGCAGCAGCAGCAGCAGCAGCAGCAGCTGCCTCTAAATGAGCTAACTCGACAATTGAAACAACTGCAGCAACAAGAAGTGTTGTCTGAACGAGTAGCAGCAACATTTAAAGGAACACGGCAACACTGCACGCCAACGCGAACACTGTACGCCAACGGGAGGGGCTACTGCCCCAAGAGGACACGGACACGGCAACACTGTGCGCCAGTGTGGCCAGCTGCTTGTCTGAATAGTTAATTCTGTGCTCCATACGGGACGGGCAGACACTGCGTAAAGAATGCGTCGCGTTCGTCTTTGTCGCTGACTCACGGCGCGCAATTTGCATTGAAAGTGTGCAGGGGGAAAAGAAAAAATATTAATTATCAAAGTAAACAGTAAAACGTAAACGGTTTTTTTTTTTTTGTCATATTTTATTTTGGTTTCAATTTTGTTTGCGTCGTAATTTTTTCTTTTTTATTTTTGTGTATTTTGTTTTTTGTTTTATTTTGTGAACGTCGACAAAAAAATGCAGCAACAGCAGCGCCGGCGACGTCAGCGTCTCATTTGCAACGCGACGCACGTAAAGGGCAGCAGCAGCAGCAGCAGCAGCAGCAACAGCAGCAGCAGCAACAGCAATTGAATGAAAGCAAAACAAAAATATGTAAATAAATAAATTAATGCAGAAAAGTAAAAACTTTTTGTACTAGTTGTAAATCGCACGAGCGTTGCGAGTGCTTGTTGAATGGAAAGTCTATGAAATTGTTGCCGCTTGCTGCTGCTGCTGCCGGGATGGCTGCTGTTGCGTGTGTCTATGTGTGTGTGTGTGTGTGTGTGTTGGCCGGACCACAGAATGCAGAACTATTGCCATTATTGTTGTTGTAGCAGCAGCAGCTTTCGCTTTTTTATTTCGACTTGCCACTCGCAGTGTCATAAAGAAAGAAGAAAAAACAGTCCGCCGTAGTTTCATTGCAACAGCAGCAGCAGCAGCAGCAGCAAAAGCTGAATTTAAATGCGCATTAAGCTGCATTTTCGTGCTAAACAAACGCCGAGGAGCCAAACGGAGCCAAGCGGACCCAAACGGAGCCAAAGTTTGTTCATATTCAAATTTATGCGCTGCAGCTGTCAATGAGGGGCGTGGCCATTTGCATAGTTGCTCTCGTGAACGCGCGTGGAGGGCTGTGTGTGGGCCGGGGCGTGGCCAGCGATCGATGCAGTGCACAAATGTATTAAATAAAATTCAGCATTGCGATGCAGCCACAATAACAACAACAATAAA